CTCAGGGGTAGCTTTGTCATGGTGACTCAGGCTGCCAAAAACCCACCTGGTGACATGGGAACGGGGCACGGCACTAAAGCGCAGCCAAAGGCCAGGACACCGGCTGGCTGATGCTTCCCACACAACCACAAGGCACACAGGGAGAGGGCGGCCGTGGGGCTGGCACGGAGGAAAGCCGCTCGCTTCAACTCGTGTCCACCCCGATGTTGCGGGGCGTCCTTGCTTCAGAGGTCCCGATGGGTGTCACACGTGGGGGAGAGGAATAGCTGCCTCTTCAGGAGGTTGACAATCGCCGTGAGCTCATGCAGTAGGAAGGGGCTAAGAGATGGAGGAGTGTGACTCTTCCCATGTAGCCCTGTCCAGGTAATACCTGGCAGTCGAAGATACAGCCACAGCTTCACATGTGAGTGTGATACTACAAATGTGAGTGTGATGCCCTATCACCGCAGTGCTTGGACCAGACAATTTTGCAAAACATATATATGTATGTATATATTTTATATTGACATTAGGTATGCATATAAACATATATGCAATATATATTTTATAAGTATTTTATATCCTTGTGCAAATGCATATATATGCAAAATAAAACCAACTATTTCTTATTCTATTTTGCTTCCACAGTTGGCTCGTTTAGTTATAAACAACATTTCTGCTGTTATTTTTGTCACTGAGATGCAGTTATTTCCTGGATCAGAATCCTGCAGAACAACCTAATCTAATTAATTTTACCTGTTCTCTCTCTGACTTTGTACGTCACCTTTTTAAGGTTGTGTTTGGACGTTATTTAACGATGCTTCCTATTGCATTTTCTTGTGTTTTGGAGAGAAAATGTTTTCCTGTTCCGCAACTGAAAGGGCTTATATCCTCCTCCAGAGGTTCATTTGTAACAGAGAAGGTAAAAGCTCAAGCAGATTCACAGGGAGGGAGTGTGACAAGGAGAGCATCAGTAGTAACTACGGCGTTACTGGGGTTCACTGTTTTGGGGATTATTGCACTGGAAAGGATGGTATGGCTGCAGAATTGCAGCCATAGACCATGTGCCAGAGCTTAGTGATGAGAGGGACATAAAATAGAAAGCTGAAACGTGTGTATGAAGGTGGAGAGAAAGGGAAGGAGTATACTCAGTGCCATGAATTTTATTTCTAATTTTTCCCTGCCACTGGGCCTTTCAGCAGATAAGTGACTTTAATATTATGGTTGAATGTGGACATTTACAGTGGCCTTGATGTTTGCTCTTAGCATCAGTGCACTGAATCTCCAAGAGAGAGATAATTTTTGAGACTTTTGTGCTGATGAAAGGGCAATGACTGGGTAAGGTCAATGCAAGGAGAGAATTGAAAAAAGGAGGAGGGAAGAGACCAGAAATCCTTTTAACTTGCAGAAAAAAAGGTTGAGAGAGAGATGGAGGCTGGTGGTTACTCTGTGTTGATCCTCTTAGTGGCTCGGCTGCTTTTGGAGAAGAGCAATTGAAACCCAAGGCTCTGGCAGGTCTCCACTGAATCAATGGTCCCGGGACCTTTGAAATATAAGAAATTGCTTCCAAGTGAGTGAAAGCTGATCTCATGAGCTGTGTAGCAAGGGTGGCTTCTTTGCAAACTGCCTTCCATGGAAAACTGCATGCTTTTCCCTTTTCTGAAGCATTTGGGAGATTTTTGTGGTGTGTTTCTTTGGGAGGCTGAGCGTACCCCCCACCTTCTGAGCTGAGTCAAAATCCTTATGGCTTCTGTGGCTCCCTGTGCTATTTTTCTCATTACAGTTGGAGAGCAGGGTGTTCTTAGCAGTCCATTCTCATCTGCTCAATGTTAATCTTTCTATCTTTCTTTTTTTTTTTTTTTTTTTTAAAAAAAAGCCCAGATCACTCCTATATTTTTTTTCTCTACTTTTGAAATGAGATTGGGATTAGACATAGGGGTTTTGATTTTTTTTATTAACGGTCATGAGCTTAATATTGAAAATTACTGTTTGTAAGAATAATAGAAACAACCTGGAGTTGCCCAGCTTTGCATCATAAAAATAGTCCTCACAATGACCACATTTGGCAGGAATACCAAAGCAAGGGGAGGGCTCTAGGCATGTTGAAGAAGGAGGAGAAGTTTGCAGGGTTCATTTTCCAGGTGGACAACCAGGTGATCCAAAATATAAGCCTTAGATTTTGTACCTTGGCAGCTTGTTTTGGTGCATCAGCACGTTTAATGCAAATTAATCCCCCCTCCCTCTCAAACACTCTGCGTTATGAAGCATGACAGGAGGGAATGGATCTAAATTCTCTTGTGGCATTAGGTCAAAGTCTTGCATTAGCTAATTGTAACCACCTGATTGTTCTACATTTAAACATCTGTGGCAGCAATAACATCATCAAACACCAAATAAAACCACAGCCTTCTGCTTCCTTATAGTAATTTCCTTTCCTGTACTTATTTTGAAGATGTGCAGGTGCATATAGGAAAGCAGGTTACTTCCCCAGACTCTCCATCATGTGCCCAGGCATCCCTGAAAAAACAGTAGTTAATAAAAGGAATAGCCTTTTTAATGAAAGACACAAAAATTAGGTAGTCAGAATCCATGGTATTAAAATTATAATACCAGAATGGCACATACTGGTATTTATTCATACTACCCTTTATTATAAAATATTGGAATTTATTCATCTGAGCCTTCACCAGGTGGTTGCATTTATTTTTAACACTGATGTCTAGTGCAGATTAACATTAGGAAAATAGGAATTTATGTTTCAGGTAAGTTTAGAGTGCTAAATACCCTTTTTTTTCTTAATGTTTCCTGTCCAAATTGACCGAGGAGTGTTCAGATTTGCTACTGGAGCTACTGTCTCAGTTCTACTGTTCATTTATTATTTGTCTGTGGACAGCCTAACCTTGAAAAATAAAAGCTGAAAGAAAACAAATCTGATCAGTAATATGTAATAGGGATTTGCACAGACTTTTGTTTGAAATAATTTGTGTGGCAGCTGATTGTGCTTGTCCTTCACCAGATAGACAGGTCTGATGGGAAACCAAGCAATCTGGATTACCCTGAAAGCAAGAGGGATAAGTTCTCCAGAAGCATATGCTTAGTCATACCAAACCTTAATTTTTTCTTGCAAGTGTTGGTGAATTCTGCCTAGGCCAGATTTTACCCTAACTTTCACCATGTCTTCATTCCATATGTGCCACCTCAGTCCTCTCCCTGCTCCCCTGAAACAGTCTGATTTGATTTAGATGGGATAATACCAAATAATTTAGTTCAAACAGTTGAACTAAGGTCCATATGCCATTTATACAAAATGAAACAAAAAAAAAATCAAAAAAACCCCAAACCCTAACCCTGAACCAAAAATGATTTTATCACTTTCGGTCTGCCATAAATGCAGAATTTCTTTCTGCTTTGAGCTGTGGTCAAACCACATAGCGAAGGCAGCGCCATGTAGCACCAGTTCAATAAATAACTGGGCAGCTCTACTGCACAGATGAGGAAAAATGTTTTTCTTTATTTTATGTGGATTGTTTAGGTCTTTGTACCCTGTCTCCCTGAAGATTAAACAGCAAACACAGGCTTCATGCAAAGATAATAATTATGAGTCTCAGTGTGAAATGCAGAATAGCGCCTTTGGAAAAAGAAAAGTTTCATGTGGGCTTGGAAATGCTTGAGGCTGTGGGGAAAATAAGAAGCCACAAATCTGGGGACTGAAACCCCAAATGGTTTTAAAACAGGTAGAGAAATATATGCATACATAGATAGACACTGAAGAACTTAATGATGAAAACTCTGGCTGTAGATGGGCGGACTCTCATTTATTAGGGTTTATTTCTGAATCACTTGTAGTGTTGGAAATCTCTTTGACAGCTGAGAATCCGCCTTTTGAGTTTGATTTTCTTAAGCTGTTATGTGTCTTTGTGGACATCGGAGTACCAGTTTGATTTCTGACAAAGTCGGGATGCTGAGGATACCATCCCTCCTTGCATTTTCTCTGTGATCTGAACCATTACATGAACAAAGCAGATGCAGAGGAAACTGTTGGAGGTTATGGTGTGCAGCTGGGGAAAAGCATGGAAGGTGCCATGTCTCATATCAGCCCACACTTCTGTTACCAAGAAAACAGAAAAATAGATGTTACATTAAGCAAATTGCGATTGCATGAATGTTGTCTCCTAACCTAAAAGGCAAGCTGGATTTCTGATGGGGCTTGACGACAGACAAACCGCTTGTCTGCTGGCTGAAGCCAAATTCCTGCAAGAAAACCAAAATAGAAGTCGCCAAATGGCACCTCTTACTGTAAAGGGGGAAAAGCATTTAACTGGCAATATTATTGTGAGCAGGTGCTGGGGGAATTTAGCAAACTAAGAGGCCTGGTAGGTCAATGATGAGGTTCCTGTCTCATTTGGTGGTGACTAAGAGGGGATGGCCAAGACGGAAAGGATGGCTGCCTTTCAGCTGTCTTTGGGATGGGTACCGGTCCCTCAGAGCAGGCTGGGGATGGCTCAGGGTTCAGAAGTTACCAGGGTTACGCCGGCGAGCAAGCAAACAACTCCCTTCAACCTCATCTTGGGAAATCAGGCTAAAAATAGGTTGCTGAGGCTTAAGGTTAAAAGTAAAGACGTGACCAAGCAGTGCTGTTGAAAAGCCAGCTCTGCTCATCCTCTACAAACATCCAAGGACTGCATTTCCCTGCCAGAGCCGATGCATTTGTTACTGGCTATAGAAAAAGGCTCTGTGAAAGTTGTACATTAGCTAGCAATGCCTTCTGACCTGCAACTACACTGACGGCTGGGTTTTCCCTAAAACACATGGAGTTTTAGAAACGGCTTTTCAATATAGCGATAGGCCAAGTATTTAGAAATCTGGTTCATAACGAAGGGAAACTGATGACCGAAGAGGTGAGAGAAAGTATTTCAGGGTAGGGTGGTGGGATCGCCGGGTCCCCATGTAGTTGGACTGTCACAGCTTGGTGGGGGGACGCACCCCGCTTCTCACTGGTGCGTTTGCCTGCTTTACCCCAGGTCCAGTTGAAAAGCGAAGAAACGAAAACCTTTGCCATGAAAATACTGAAGAAACGTCACATCGTGGACACGAGGCAGCAGGAGCACATCCGCTCAGAGAAGCAGATCATGCAGAGCGCGCACTCGGACTTCATCGTGAGGTACCGTCCCTCCGCCTTACGCGCTGCCGCGGGAGAGCGAAGCCCAGCCGATCTCGGCATTTTGTGAAACCACACAGGAATAATCCATCCATTGCTAGAAAAAAACCCTTGAGCCATAGCTTCCCTGCAAGGGACTGCAGACACGGTGCACGAAATAAGGTCTTCTCCAGGCCAATGTGAGATTGCTCTGCCCATGGGGGACATCTGCCCAAGCCTAAACTAAACTCATGTTCTTAACTGGTTTGTGTTGACCCTGTGCTGCGCTCACATGGCTTTGTGGCTCCTGAAGCAAGCGCACCACGAGCCCGCAGCCTGGGCAGAGCTTGCCGATGCCGGCAGACAAGGCTCCGTGTAGACGTGCACAGCATGACTCAGCATCGCCCCTGCCCAAAGTTGATATCCCTCTTTTTTCTGAATTTCTGAATTTTCCTTCCCACAAAGGGAAGCTGGAGGGCAGGGTTTAATCTTTGGAGATCACGTGCTGCCATGTGAATAAAAAGTTGTATCCAGCGCTGCTTCTTAGGGTGTATTAGATAAATCCAGTTCAGTGTCCCTTGACTCATCATGGGCAAATGCGCTAAAACCATACCTCTCCCCAAAACCTAAGCAGACGCAATTATTCAGTGAATAAAATCAGGTGCCAGGCATTTTTGCCTGTTTTAGCCCTAATGGCAAATTTCTCTGACTCTTCAAGGACCGTGAGTATCTGTCAGCAGGAAACAGAAATGGTTTAAGTCAGGATAAGAGTGGTGGGTGGTGAGGACCTCTGGCAGGGCAATGTCAAAAATGCAAAATACCTTCACCGAGCTGGAGGTATTTAAAAGGGCGGCCTCTCATCTAAGCGAAGGGTGCTTCATCCCACCCTCAAAGAAATGCCCGAAGCACTTGACTTTTGCCAGAGGAGATCAACCCCGCTCCCCAAAATTGCTCCGGAGAGACATCCTAACCCAGGGGTGAAACCAAACCCCTGTGATAAATGCAAAGGCAAGCGCCTGGCCGGGACGGCCGCCCGTCAGTTGCTGAGGGGGTGTTTCCTTCCCAGGCTGATCCCTGGGATTCCCCCAGAGCCCTCGGCTTCGCCTCTGATTCATGGGTGACAACTGCAGCCTGACACCCTACCCAGCTGCAGTTTCCTTCACGCTGGAATATTTGATTCACAAACACGCCCCCGTTACCTAGGCTAGAGCCAAATATACCTTGTGGGCTATTTCAGCCTATAGATTTCTTTTCTGAAGCCTGAGCTGTCTCAGGATGGGGATGTAAAGGGAGGTGAAGTGTGGGGCCAGCCAAGCGGAGGGACATTTTGACACCATTTCCAGAAATACTCTCTCCTAAATAAAAAGCTTGAGCCTGCAAACATTTCTTAATGGAGCCACTGATGTTCATAGCTAATAAAATAAATGCTTCTTCATTCCCACTTTTTATTCTTTCAGCCAGCAAGTGAAAAAAGGATGCGTTAGCCATAGGTCTTTTCCTTCCATATCATGCAATAAATCCCATCCTTTATAGTAACAAGCCTCCATTAACTGTTTTTAATACCCCGTGGAAATCCTGCACTGAGAAGGGCCTTTCTAAGTCATGAAGTCCAACCTTTTGCTATTACATATGCCGCAGCTAGAAAATGCCTGGTTTATCAAACTCTGTGTCTGCTTTTCCCCCTCACTTCTTCTTTTGCACGTCCATGGGGATTTGAAGTTGTCTTATAGTAACTATCCTAAAATTATTCATAACATGTTTATACCCTTTCTTGGCCCAGCTGGGATAATATTTTCCTGGGTGCTACAGATAGAAATCTTATGACTTCGGTAGATTAATTGTGTTTGGAGATATTGGGTGAAAGGTGGGTTTAAAATGATCTTGGAGCAAAGGACACAACATCCGGGATATCAGAACAGGATAGCCAAAACTCCCGAAGAACTCAATTATTTTCTTAATTCGTCATGAAACTCTTTGTTAAAAATCTTTGAAGAATAGTTTGGTTTGATGATTAAAATGCATTAAACCAGCCAAAAGAAGCAGAAGTGTCCAAGTACGACTAAATAAAATTTACTCGTAGATAAGCCAAGAATCTCACAGAACAAAATGCTCTGGGTTTGGTAAAGGGCCAAACAAGCGTTGAGCAGTAGATGTCTGCACTGGATTTGCAAATATTTAGATGAATGAGAAAATGAATAAAAAAATCAATTCATATATTGTGACATTTCAAACTTATGATGGCTTGATCTACTGAAATAGTGCGGTTTGATCATGTATAAGCTTTTTGCTTCCATTACAGTTGATAAATAATATCTGATTTTTTTTTTCCTGCACGTTTTAGGCCAGATTTAATGCCCATAAAGTTTTCTGGAAAGCCATTTTTCAGCAGTGCTACCTTAGCTAGAGAAAGTAATGCCTTATTTCAGTAGCATTTAAACTACTGAGCAATTAAAAATATTTAGTTATGCATATTTTGGATTCTTGAATATGTAGGTTTTCTGTAAACCTTAAGGAAGATGAAATGTTTATTAAGATAAATTATGTTTAGTCCAACTGGCAAGAAATAGTTTTTTTTTTTTGTTAAACCCATAAATTTTAACCATGTGAAATGGTCAGTAAGTTTGTTCCAACTTTTTCTGAGAAGCACATTGTAACTGAGATTTTAAATGTCAACATAGGTAATACTAGAGTAAGGAAAGATCTGAAGCACTGGTTCGGTTTTTTTCCTTTTAATTTTGTTGTGGCTGCAAAGAGTACCTTTTAGCTACAGAATATTTCCAGGTAGATAAGCACCGAGCATATTCAGTACCCAAACTCCTGCCTACATCACAGCTGTGCCTGCTGGGATCTTTTTCTGTTAAACATGCCAAAAGTAGAGCGGGTAACTGCTGCTAAGCTGTGTGCTGGATGCTATGCAAACACAGACAGGAGACAAATGTTGTCTAGCATCGTGATGTGAAAGCGTATCGGAGCCAAGCTGTAGCTGCCGGGTTGTTTTGCCACGTACCTTAAGTTAATATTTAACTGAATGCCTTCGAAAGGAACCAAGTCCTGCTGTGTTTTCCCCCTGGTCCATCACACAGGTCCATAAAAGATACTAATAATTGGATTTATCACTAGCTGGGAAGAGCTAGAATCTGCAAAACCACCTGTTTTAATTTATATCATGTGGTATCAGCCCTTTAGTTTTTAATTCTTGGAAACTCCCATGAATGCAGCAATTACACCATAACAGAATATCCCTCAGCATCCCCTTTTGCTGTGGAGCTCGGATTTTTAAAATTAATTTCTGAACAGTCCAGCTGCAAAGAAACCTTTTCAGTATCCACATAGAGCAGGCTCATTCCTGCAGGCAACCTGAACCGATATATACCCACACATGTAACAAGAAGTACAAAAGTAGTTCGACATTAAAATTAAATTAAACAGCTAATACTGAATTCCCTTTTTTTATTTCCATAGTTTTATAGTTCCATTTGTTTAATATGTCATATTAAACACAGAGCATGGATTTTACTGCACAATTTAGATTGCACTTGAGAAGGAGGACGGGTTCATAAAGCCTGGCCATCTATCCCTTTAGGCAGTTTTTCCTCCACATTCAATCACTGGAAGAAGAAGAGCAGTTTTAGATGCCTACACATCAGCAGGTTGTCTTTAAACTCTCCATATCAGTGGGTTTAAGGTCTGAAACGAAGCACAAATTGGGTGATGCTCCTTTGAGATGATGGAGGGGAGACTGCAGATCTGCAGCCAGACTCTGTAGTGTGAAGAATAAGATAATATGGGTGTTATAAAAAATGGTAGGAAACCTTCTCTTTCAAGCACCTCTGGAAAGCCAAGTGTCAGGTTATGCCATTAGAAATGGCAGATTTTATATTTAGCACCCAGAGTAGCGATGACCTCTTCTTCTGAGGTCCATGATACGCTTCACCACTCAGATGCCCATCTTGTTCTGCTGAAATATTTCCCACCCAAGAAGCGACATTGAAATGATTCTCCTTAAACGTAACACTGACTCTGAAAGATTCCCCTTGGTCTTGTGCTGCTTGCTGGGATGAAGTGCGTGGTCTGTGAGAAGTGGGAACGCTCGGTGCCTTCGCTTGTGTCGTGGATTTATTCTGATTTTCTTGTTTGCCCACAACAGGCTCTACAGGACGTTCAAAGACAGCAAGTACCTGTACATGCTGATGGAAGCCTGTCTGGGTGGAGAGCTCTGGACAATTCTCAGGGACAGGTGAGTTTTGAGAAACTATTATCTTAGAAAGTGGAGTATTTTCTAATATGCCACCAGATACCCAAAGGTCTTTATCTTTCATGGGCAAAATCTGGATCTTACCATGTTATGTTTGATTTAAGATCCCAGAAAGGTGAGGAGATATTTTTGTTCCTATGCAGTTGGCTAGAGATAAAGTGAATCCAGTCATAACTGAGAATAAAGACTGGTGTAGGTTGCGTCCAACATGTACAAGGCTTTATGTAAGTGGAGACTTAGCCAGAGCTACTTTCTCACGGCCTCTCTGAAAAAATAGAGAAGGTAGTGATGGTAGCAATGGAAGTCATGTGATAAATTCCATCTACGACAAGTCTTTGACTGCCCTTTGCCTGTATCTTGATCTACAAAGGGTACCCCTAAATAGCCAGCAGCATATTTTAATTTTAACTTAATTAATTAATTAACTTTTCGTTACCTAGAACAACAACTTTTTGCAACCACAGAAATTACAGCTGTGTCCTCGGTGCCCATGCTACCGTTTCTCACGTTTGAGAGCCTGGCTGGAGGTTCAGGCACCCGATAGAGAAATGTGGGACTGTTTTGAGGGTGACAGAGACTTTGGGCACCACGGATGACGGCAGAGAATTACCCTGCAGGGTGTGACCAGGCATTGCAGGAGGTGCAATTCTTGTAAGACATGCTCTGGAGGTAGGGTCCTTCCAGTGTGGCACCTGTAGGCATTGCTGCTGTGGCCGTTTTAGACTCTAGACTTACAAACCAAGACCCTAAAGCAGCAGTGGCATTAGTGAGAGGTCACAGTTGCAAGTGAAATCCATGGGAAAGTGCGTTCTCAAGCTAAAAAATGCAGAATTCTTAAAAGTCATCTGAAAAATCACAATTTTCCATCTGAGAGAAAGACCTGCTTTTTTCATCACAGTGTTTTCTCCGCTGCCCACCCTCTGTAACTGTGAATAGCAACATCCACCTCTATTGTGGAAGCACTGTGATAAATAATATCTATTAATACTTCTTCATATTTATGACACAGTCAGGTATGATAGCAATGAGCAGGAGGAAATCAATAGTTCTACAGTGGCTTTTAGTCCAGATATCACATATTAAACGAGAGCCGCTCATCAAAGTGGGAAACAGGATCATGCATCAGATCCACACCCTGCAAGCAGCACAACACCACTGGGACACAGAAGTGCCATGGAAAAAAATAGTTAGGAAAGCATGTAATTACATACTGTGCCGTAATGCACAAGCAAATGTGCTCCTGGTATTTCCTGCCTCAGGAGGGTTTGACCTTGTAGCGTTTGGTTTTGGTTGTGGGTGTGTAGGTGGCAGGTGGATTGCACGGGTGTACGTGGGACCTGCATGTAATACGCCCGCGGACAGGAAAAGATGCAGTGAATTGCGTGTAACTATGTCATGGGCTCATAATTGGAACATAATTTAATTAAATTTGGAAAGTGAAAGAAATGCATCAGAAAGATTGATCAGAAAGCAAAGATTAAATTTTTTTTTAATTACCTAGAATGAATTTTTTTTAATTCTTCCTTTTCCTAACAGCGTGCCTTCTCCGGACCATTAAAATGAGAATCGTAGCAAAGTTAGCAGGTGCCAGGTTGTATTTTTCATTGTCTTTGTCAGAGCCTGATAATTTCACCTTTAATTCTCTCGGCTTTAAATTGTGGTTCTGCTGCCACCTAGCTTAGACACGCTTCTGAGCTCAGCCAGCTCCCACCACCAGCTCCTGACGAGCAGGGGGATATGATTTGCTTCGGAAAAGTCTGAAACAAGGATCCAAAAGTGTGGTTTATGCTGAATTTGCAATTAACACTTCAAGTCCCAGCAACTGTAATTTTTCTGCCTTTTGTCTCGGTTATGAACACTAGTAAGGGAGTTCTTGATCTCCAACAGCTCAAAATAGCTTTATCACCCAAAAGTCAAAGATTATAATTAAAAAATCACCTTTTAGTTAGAAGGTGTTTGTAGATTTTACTTCTATGAGATGTAATTATAAAATAAAATAAATATTTTTATATTAAATAAATAAAAATATTTTAGATTCGAATGTTTGATATGAAGGTGGATTGAAGGCAAAGTTGCTAACTTCAGAAATGGAAATGCAATTAAATCTATACGTAAAGGTGAGTTTAGCAACAGCCACTTTCCAGGTATTACAGTGATTCTACTGAACTGTGAAGATATTTTAACAGTAGGGTGAAGTCCAGTAAGGGAAGAGATCTAATAATTTTATCCCCTTTCCCTCTCTTATTTTACGTAGAGGTTCATTTGAGGATTCAACGACCAGGTTTTACACGGCATGTGTGGTCGAAGCTTTTGCCTACTTGCATTCCAAAGGGATCATTTATAGGGACCTCAAGCCAGAAAACCTCATTCTGGATCATCGAGGTTACGCCAAACTGGTGAGTGCCTGCAATATTAGGTTTGCCAAAAAAAGTCACCGCTACTACCAGACAACTGGTGTTTTAGGGGTAGAGGAGAACCCAGGATTAGCCACAGAGGGTCAGAAGCAAAGCCCACCCAGCCCAGGGTCCCGTCTCTGATGGTGGCCATCAGTAGGCGCTGAGATGAGATCAGGGCAAGGGTGTCATCACCCACCACCGGGATGTTCTCCCAGCCTCCAGCAGGCTGAGGCTCAGGATACAGCTGAGCTGGGGAACACTAATTCTGGCTTGAAATTCAGATCTGTGGTCCTGAAGTGGAAATGTTTAGAGATAAGTGTCAAGAGAAATCCAGCCAGCTGTTTTGGAGCTACTGAAAGACTAAAAAACAACTTGTAAAGAGGTGTCTTAAAATATTGGTGGGAGAGGGGGAGGACTTGCATCTATGGGCTTTATGGGCGACTGGTGAAACAAATTTTGCAAGCTGCTGTTCCTGTGTCGGGTCCTTATGTAAGCAATAAAGGAAGGCGTTCTTAATGGAAATAATAATCATGACCCTGTCATGGCAAGAAATTATTATTATTAATTGCCGTGGACTGCGTTGCTGAACTGTGGCCAACACAGCTTCTTGCTTTAGGAGGGCTGCTTGTGTTTTAGCACTGGTGACACACCTGACTCATCTGTGCAAACTCCTCTGGGACGACTGCGTAAGGCTCTGCCTGGAACTGCTCTTCCCAGAAAGTCGTGGTCCTTCTCAGTGCTGTCCCCCTGCAAGATCCACCTCCTCAGACCAGGTCGGCAGCGTATGCAAGACCTCTGCCCCCCAAATTAGGGAGTTACTGATGGGTTTCACTGTACCGCTTTGTTCACTCATACTACCATTTTGCTTCAAAAATCACTGTAGAGGTGCCCTGCATGTAAGGTACACCCCAAATGCCAGGTGAGACCATGGAGAGGGGGAGAGGAAAAGCAAGACTTCCCTTGGTGGGAGGTGCTGGAGGATGTGGGCACTTGGGAGGCCATCAGTGAAGGACAGGGCAATGCACTCCTAAAAAGAGCTGTGTCCAAGAGGGGCTGATGCCCTCCCTGAGAGTCACGGTGGGGGCCAAGGTTTCTGCCTCTTGGCTTGGGGACTTCCAGGCCTTTGGGAAGGGAAACTCAGGAGTGGCGTCAGCAGGTGGGAGCAGTTAAGTCAGACCATCACCATCATGGACCTTTACAGCGTCGTGGCAGCCACCATGTGTCATCATTACACAGCCTAATGAACGGCATCAGAGTTTATCCTCCACAGCATTTTGCTAAGGCTGGGGTGTTCAGCGAGGTGTCAGATGATTGAGGAGGATTAGGTGCAGGACTGCCCTTCTCCCCACCCCAGGAGGACCTGGACCGGGGTTTGTGCTGGTCCCATCACCAACCCCCAGCACGTTAGACATTCTGATCCCCCTGAACACATCCGTGATAGCACAAGAAGTGTCCCAGATCTCTTGTGGGACTGTGACCACGTAGGACTTTTGCTCCTGACCATCTCAAGGGGTAGGAACATCTCACAGCCATCAAGGGACAGTAGAGTGTGCTGCAGACCACAGCTCTAGGCTAGGACAGCACCAAGGCAGGGGAGAACAGAGGGGGTAGAGCTAAAAATACAGTGCGCCTATTAACCTGAGCTCTGCCTGGGCCCCAAAAGATAGCTTTGGTTCCCAGTATAATCTGATTTTCTGTGCTTGCTGGTGCCACAGGGGCACTGCTGTAGGGGCACGCTGAGGTTTGTGAGCCTGCCAGCACGTTGTAACAGCCTCAAGTAAATAGTTGCACTGCATCACTCTCTATACCAGGAGAGAAATCTGAACTTTTCAGTAGATGCCAAAGTGGTCAGTGTTTAGCCTAAATAGTTCCTTGCTCAGGTAAAAGCTGGGTTTGAAAAAAAAAAAAGGCAAAACAAATCAACCTCATCTGTGAATGATACGATGTTACATCTCCCCAGAAACCCTCAGTGTTAGCATTTGTTCTTCTTCCCTCACGAGAATCTTCCTTTTTATATTACGAAGGATAAATCGGTGAAAAGGTCACTACGGTTGCCTGGTCCTGGAAAGACCCACGATGCTTTCGTTAGGAGAATATTCTCACGAGGAAACCTCCTTTATGCTTTGCTTCACTTCAAGAGGAGCGGAGCACATGGCTGACATATTCCCTCTCATGCTCTGCCCTGATGGTACTCTGCTCCTTTCCGCAGGTTGATTTTGGCTTTGCAAAGAAAATAGGATTTGGAAAGAAAACATGGACTTTTTGTGGAACCCCGGAGTACGTAGCCCCTGAGATCATCCTGAACAAAGGTCATGACATTTCGGCAGACTACTGGTCACTGGGAATCTTAATGTATGAACTCCTGACTGGCAGGTATGGGCATCGGGGCCGGCACCGCTGCTGAAAATAGATCCGAATATTTCTGCCGTTGTCACCCTGATTAGGCAAAGGACAGGTTCAGAGCTGGCGTGTGCTGTAGCGGCACAGCACTGTGCTGCTGAACCTAATAATTAGTTTTTGCACTTTAAGTCACAGCTTCGATGCAGACTGCTCAAAGGGCAAGACATGAGCAGGCTTTTTAGGAAATGCTGTGAAATGACACCGAAAATTCCTTTTTGGCCCTGAATGAGCTGAACATGATGGAGAAAGGGAAAGGGTTTGCAATTCAACTGGAGAGGTGCAGTGACGGGCTGCCACACATCTGAAAAGGAGGAGGTGGACCTGACACTTGAGTCCCTATATCCATCCCTTCCCTTACTTAGTTTTGGATGTATATGTTACTGCTTGTGTTGGCAGTAGCAGCTTCCTTGCACTTCCTCACCTCATCCCCCATCATTCACTCCCATCATACCAGAGCTGGAAAAGGATCCATCATCTCAACCTGCTTATCCTTTGGGGCTAGACCCAAGCCCCTCATTCTGTTAAACCAATGGAAACCTAATTAATCCCCACTGAAAGCATGTCACAACGTCAGAGAATAAGCCAGCGAGCATTGCTCAGACCCTTGTTCCTTGGACTGTTGGGATGTGGGCCATCATGGAAGTGAGAGGTTCAGCATGTGCTGCTGCAGAAAACATGACTTTACTCTTTGGTACTTCCCTCCAGCCAGCACCACTGACAGTATCAGAGCTCCTTGGCTGAGAAATTATTAAGATCAGAGGAAGCAAAGCATTGCTAGTCGTCATCTGCCTTTTCTCATTTTAGTAGGGTACTATGTTTTGCTTTGGGTGGATGGGGAGGTTTATCAATCTTCAATGCTATTTTAAAGACAAGCTTTTAATCTTTTTCTTTTTCCTTTCCCCTCTGAAGTCCCCCATTCTCAGGCCCAGACCCCATGAAGACCTATAACATCATATTAAGGGGAATAGACATGATTGAATTTCCAAAGAAGATTGCCAAAAATGCTGCTAATTTAATTAAAAAACTATGCAGGTAAGCGCATGAAATATAATCACCTTGATCTTATTTGCAAAGAAATTAATTGTTCAGTAACTGATTTGTTATTCGTTTTATAGGGACAATCCATCAGAAAGATTAGGGAACTTGAAAAACGGAGTGAAAGATATCCAAAAGCACAAGTAAGTGTCTTCTCCACCATCCATCAGATCCAACCCACAGAAACATGCATTTCAAGCACTTCAATTTTCAGCAAAAAATACTCTTCACGTGCTTTAGACTCTTAACTGAATTTCCATCAGTTTCTTTTTTTCCCAGTGTTTTGGTATAGATGCTAGCCTTGCCTGTGAGCAAAACACATTGCACAATGACCATTACACTTTAATTACTCTAATTGCAGAAGAGCATTTGGAAGCAATCCAACTTGGCCACTGCCTGCTTGGATTTTTTTGGTTTTCAGAATCACTTTCCAAGGTTTTCATTGATTTCCCTTCCCCCCCACTGAACACACTTTCTCTCTACCTGTGACATTAATTCATCATCCCTTTTGGTCTGATGGGAGAGAGTTGTTAAGTGATGTCACATAGGTTTTCAAACTGCTGGAGGGGAATAAGAACAAGTTAAGAGAGCCATCGCAGAAGCAGGTTATCTTATCCATCTGTGCTGGTGCTTCTCTTCTCCCATCCCCAAAGCAACAGAAATGGGTTGGATGGACATTTTGGGTGGACGGGTTGAAGACTCAGCCCAGGACTCATCCACCCACCTAAGCTGCTGTAGCTTGAGCAAACCCGAGGTGCCCGAACCAGGAGGAGGACATCCCTGTACATGCCCTTAGCTCCCTATCTCATATGAAGAAAGGACTTTAGGGGTCTCATACAGGAGGGATCAACCCTATAGAAAGGAAAGAGCAGCTGCCAGGACACCTGCAGTGAGGAACGGTTTTCTTCTGAGCATTGGTAATTTGTACTTGCGATGGTATTATCACTGGGTTGCTACACATGCTTCATTTTCAGTCCCCAAAATCATACATAAAGGTGACAGGAAAAATTATTAAGGCTAATTGGACAATTTGAAGAAGATGACTACGGGAGTTGAAACCCACTGTTTAAGCAATTTAAATTTAATTTTGTGCTACAGAGATATTTTCGCCGTATGTCTTAACTTTCATTATTCTCTCCCTTCTAGATGGTTTGAAGGCTTTAACTGGGAAGGGTTACGAAAAGGGACACTGACGCCTCCTATAATACCAAGTGTAAGTTTTCCTACTTATTTTCTCCTTCCTGGCCAATAAGTTTCTTTTACATGAACGTTGTGAGCTTCGGGCACTAATACACTGGAGTTAAGTGGCGACAGCGTGTGCTTTATTTCTTCTGAAGATGCTTGAAGAAGTCATGTTGGAGACATTTCCAGCTACACTTGGTCTCCTGGCGGTCTCTTCCAGGAGAGGGCGGTTTGGGGAGGGCATGACTGCAATGAAATGCTCTTTGCAGCAGGAGATCGGGGCAGGATCATTCACTACTACACGTTTTTGTCTTCCTCACCTGCTCCACTTGTTTCTTCATCTACTTTTCACATTTCAGTGGAGAGCTGCCACTTTCACCCCTTCTCTCAGATGTGTCCTCTTTCTTTCTCCTTTATTCTTATTTCTTTTGACGAGGCAAGTGGGATTTGTATGCCATCTCCCTTTTCTTTTGCATCAACCTTTCTCTCTGTCTTTTCTTTTGTGCTTTTCGGTCTTTTTTTCCTGCATCCGTGTCCTACATGAAAAGCCCTGTTACCGCCTAGTTTATGTTTAACTGGGAGCAGACGCGGAGGGACAGCTCGACTCATTTTCCTTTGGAGCAAAGCTCTTCCTTTGATGTCTTTGTGAGCTCTTTACCCACAAAGCCTGCCACAAAGGGAAACCAAACAGGATTAGCTGATAGAAATTACCTTGGCCCCTTCTGTTCTGCAGCCTCCCCTCCTTGTTTCAACTTAATCCCTTTCTCTCCATGCCTCTCCCGCGGGATCACCGAGAGAATGACATTAGCAATCGTGTTTAATTGCACCCCGTTGCTCTGTCCACCCATGGTCCTGCCCCTCCTGCAGCAGCGGCAGGCACGGCTCCAGGGCTAAGTCTGCCATCCCAAAGTTTTCTTAGCAGCTATGAAAGAGCAAGAGGGTTTTGCATACCCACTTTTTGCCCTGTGGGCTGCAGAAGTTACTGGCAGTTAGTGGGAGAAAGCAGGACTTTGCAAATATCTGCCTAAAGCAGGATGCCCAAAGAACATATAAATGTTTTATAAATCAAAACCGTGTTTTTTCTGTTAAGCTTCTTTTAAATGACTATTAATTTGTCAGCGGTACTGTTCACCACATTTCAAGTCAGACAATAAAGTCAAGTTTGCTCCCTTACATCCAGTTACAATTTGTGGTTTACCTGTGCAGGATGTCAGTGTAGCCTGCAAATGCCCCAATATGTTTCTCTAATTGTTTTTAGTGGATTTGTAGTTTAGTAAGAGCATTTCCAGTACTGCTTTTACCCAATATACATATGGACCCTGCATGTCTAACCCTCAGATGGCACAACCAGCAGCAGTGACTTCAGTGGTACCTGCTCTCTATGGGCATGAATTGCTCCCTGACATCCCCAAGCTGGGACGTTGCTCCACCACCAGAAATGGTCTCTGGTCCTTTGGCACTGCCTAGAGGAAGGCCGCTCGCCAGCCTGTTGGGCAGGAAATAACGTTTTCTTTGCTATTTCAGTTAGATCTAACACGGTAGGAGAAAAGGTTTGGGTGGTGTTATTTCTTGGCATCGTCAAGGCTGTGTGTTCGTGGGACTAGTGGTGTCCTGCCAGGGAACATGTCTGTGGTTGCTCCCAAGAGAGTGATCTGCTGTCACTCTTTTGGCCGGCACACCACCGTCAAGGCTTTCCAAAGTAGAGAGGAGCATCCTTCCCTGTTCAGAGGAATCCTTCTTCCAGGACAACTCAATGTTAACAGCCATACGTTGCCCTAATCCCAATTCAATCACAGCTCATTCTTTCCTAGAGCTCTTAGGAGTAACAACTTCTCTAGACATACTCCCAAGATCCTCTCCAAAACCTGCCTCGATTAACTAGTGAATCTTGTCAATCCCAAAGCTGTCTGTCCCTCTCGGCCTCGTTTTCCACAAGTTTTTCAGTTGCTTTGGCAAAAGTCCCAACTGCCAATAAGAGCTATATGTGAAAAGAGACCCAAAATACATAGCTCTGGGGGAAAAAATCCATTTTTTCCTTCAGTCAGTGAACCTCTTGTTGAGCCAGTAGGGCTAAATATAGAGACTAGCTTTCTTTTTTTTAAGAAAAAAGGCCTTCCCCAGCTCTTTAACCCTCATTAGCAGTTATGTGGTACTACCAGTGAGGCAATCGAAAGCTGCTCCTTAGCTCTTATTCCATGGGATTTTAGGAAAGATCTCCATTTACAGCCTGCTGCTAGGACATCACTTCAGGCAGCAGCTGAGCCTCAATACCACAGCTGAAATCTGTGACAGTAGCTGTCCTTAAAAGCTTCTCCTGCATCGACTTTTCCAAAGATGCGCTGTCTTGCATCACAGTTCTTGCCTTTGAGAATGACATGCAGACCTCTGCGCCGTAATTCATCTCTAGCCCTTATGTTGGTAAGCCATCAGAAAGCTGACACTGATGTTTGCACTTTATCTTCTTGGACAGGAGATAATTCTAGAGTGTCCCTCCTTGGCTGGCGAGGCCATCAAGAGGGACATTTGCTCCCATGTCTCTGACAGTGAAGGAATGCAGGCCACGTAGGTGACCTGGAGCTCAGAGCTGTGGGGAATCACACCAGCATTAGCATCACATAATGTCAATCAGCAGAGTAGCAACTCATCCAACCTTTTTTCTCCAAATCCTATTTCTTCTAAGAAAAAGAAAACCCTCTGCATTTGAGGTGTTGGATATACTCAGCCTTTTTATTTTGTCAGATGAACGCACAAAAGGCAATCCATTTCCCAAAGTAGGACTTATTTCCCTTAAAGCCTCATCTAAGCAGAGCTCAAAAAAACGTGCCTGTGCTGCTAGGTGCTCCCAGAGTGGAGATCTGCAGAGGAGCCCCGGGGAGCTCCGTAGATGCTTTCACGCAGTGCAGTCCACTTACACATTGTCCATCACTGCTGAGAGGCTTCCTATGAAGACAGGCTGAGAAAGTTGGGGTTGTTCAGCCTGGAGAAGAGAAGGCTCTGGGGAGACCTTATAGCAGCCTCCCAGTACCTAAAGGGGGCCTACAGGAAAGCCAGAGAAGGGCTCTTTATCATGGCATGTACGGATAGGACAAGGGGTAATGGTTTTAAACTGAAAGAGGGTAGATTTAGGTTAGATATTAGGAAGAAGTTCTTCACTGTGAGGGTGGTGAGGCACTGGAACAGGTTGCCCAGAGAAGTTGTGGCTGCCCCATCCCTGGAAGTGTTCGAGGCCAGGTTGGATGGGGCTTGGAGCAACCTGGTCTAGTGGAAGGTGTCCCTGCCCATGGCAGGGCGGTTGGAACTAGATGATCTTTAAGGTGCCGTCCACCCCAAACCATGCTGTGATCCCATGATTCTGCTCCCAGAGGAAGACCTCACATGGGGTGGGCTGAGAGAAACAGAGGGTTGTGGTCCAGCCCGTGAGACTGTGGGGAGGGCGAGTGTGGAGCACCCCAAGGGTGAGGACCCAAAGGATGAAGGCTCTCCAACCCAACAGTGCCAGCACCAACAGAGTAAAGAGATCCAGGTAACTCAAAAGAAATTAAATTACAGTATTCAGTACACAGTGAAGCATCTCATCACTCCGTAGTGCTCCACTAAGCTTTTACAGGGTTGTTGTTTTTTTCAAAATGAGTTGGATATTCAAGAATCTTAATTTTCCCTGAGATGTTTCTGGCAGCAGGAAAATGCTGATGCAGCTGGGCAGCAAATAAATTTAGAGCTGAAGTTGGAGCTCTTGTTGATCAAATAGTCTTTTCCCAAGGCTTATAGCAGCATCCAGCATCGAATACATCCCCTGGACTGTAGGCTGGCCTCTGGCTGTGAGTGGCTTTTCCACCAGCTGCACACGTGAAAGGGCTGAAAAATGCAGCAAGTGTTTTCTGCCCAGCACTCCTATGGCAAGTGCAGTCCCCTCCAGCCTGCACTGGCTACTTGGGGTATGGCTTGAAGTACCGATTTTCTCTAGTAAGACACTGATTATTTTGGTCTGGAGAGCTGCTGGTCTGTTTCTGTATTGTTTCATTTTTTTAAATTGCGTTGAATGTGTCAGAGGCTTATTGTAAGAAAGTTTCAGGCACCGTTGTAAAGCAAAAAAATTAGAAATTATCTAGCTATGGTAGATTTTAAATGACATTATTTCCAAAAAAGAAACATACATGGCCTTCATCCTCAGAAGATGGGTTTCTCTGGTGGGCTCCCTAGACTGAGCAATACTTGTCAGGAAACTTGGAAGGTGGCAGGGTCCAGCCTCAAACTCAGGATCCTGGAGCCATAAATTAGATATCTGGGCTCTGGGGAGGCCCAAGGCTTTTCTGCCAACCTTGTACCGATAGGTAGGACAGTTGCTCTTGAACTAGAGACCCCAGAGGGCCTGGATCATTAGAGTAGGAGGGCTGTGGGAAGTCCTCCCGAGATTCAGCAAAAAGTGTTGAATGCAGAACTTTTCTTCCTTGCTGCAGTTAGCAATGAATCCCCTTAAATGATCGTGGTTGTGAGATCAAGAGGAAATGTCTGCAGGCATCCACTTTGATGACCGTCCCCTTCTTGTCACCCTCTTCTTTCCACAGGTTGCATCTCCAACAGACACAAGCAATTTTGACAGCTTCCCAGAGGACAGTGATGAACCACCCCCTGACGACAACTCAGGATGGGACATAGATTTTTAATGTATTTCTCTTACCTGCTTCTGCCTTGCTGAAGACAGCTTCCTGGGACATGGCTGCCAGCGAAACCGAAAGAATTGGGGAGGATTAGTGCTCGGGGTCACCATGATGCCTTGATTGATGCTGCTACAGTAACTACAGTGGCATTAGGACTTATTGCTTAGATGACAATAGCGCTCTTCATGTTTTATGTTCGAACTTAAAGTAGCAGTTGACATGGTGGTCCTGACACAAAGCCTTTCACCAGTAAAGAAATATGTTTTCTATCACTGCAACGATCTTGCTACGCTCTTAATTATAAAAGTCGAGAGATACGTAGTGTAAGACGCACTTAATTCTAGCTGCAAGGTACTGGCTTTATCAGTAGGATCAATAGTAATTTATTAAGTGCTGTAGCTAAATACAGTGCAGGATTTGGGCTACTCCCACCCTCCAAACTCCGGAGGTCTTCTACTGTAGGCCAGTGTAGGAGCAAAGGAGGACCACACGGTACTGGTCAAAGAGTTCATGTCAAAGCAGTGGTAAAATTTGTCCTTTTCCTTTCCGAGCAGTATTCATGACAAGACTGAATGTTACCTTTCCTCTTTATTTTTGAGATCTTTTTATTTTAGCCTGGTAAAACAAAAGCACAACTGCTCTAGATCCTGTTAAGGCAGATATGGGTCGCTTCTCTCATACAGCTGAGAACATACTGTAACACGACGTTTGGGTTTTTTTTTCCTTTCCCTTGGTACAAATACATAACTGCATGAAAAAAACCAACCATAAAATTAATCCATTTTACATATAAAATAGTGCTTAAATAATGGTCCTGTAATAAAGTGACAGCAGCCCACTGGTCTTACTGGTTAGCTATTAGGCATAAAACTAAGCTTAACTTTTACCTTTTTAGAGCCTGAAGGGAAAACATAAGACCCATAATGTACTTTATAGGTGCTATGTACATCCCTCATCTGTGAATATACCTGTTCAGTCAACCACCATTTCAGAAATATGTAGCAAGAGGCATCGTTCTCCGTCACGCTCTTAGATGATTTTACGTCTCCGTGTCTGCATCTCTTCCGTGTTTAGTGCAAAGCTAATTAAAATAAAAGGTGGTACTGGGCCAGTTTGCTGGCTCTGTTTGTAATATTGCCCATGAAAATGTAATCCTAATTACACCAGTCTAAGGAGCTCCACAGGAAAATCAGTGGAATTAAATGGAAAATTGATATTGGATGTGGTTGTGCAAGGTCTCCATGTCTCCAGTGTACCAGGTCCCCAGTGACTGTCTTGAAGGCACGGGAATGGCTACAGCCGAGTCGGCTTGTACAGAAAAAGGAGCTGGGGAAAACAATATTATCGTGTGTCCACTTTTCCCTCACTTCCACTGCTTTTCCTTTGCTTGAGTACAGTCTCTCCTGATTTATAGGGCATAACAGAGGAATCCTGTCCTGGATGCCTGTTTGTTGTGTATACATGGCACTAGAAGTTTATCCCATCATACCAACAAGAAACATCAGCTTTCAGACTCTGTAACAGACCCTGCCCCAAAAATTAGCAGATGCTGCCCCAGTTCATCTCAGAGCTGCCAAGAACTGTTGTATACACTGGAAGGCGGAAGATCGGCTTTTGCTGAAAAGTCATTCGTATGACTTTTGCCTACATAGTACACAGAAAATGTATGTTTTAGCAGTAAAAAATTATTTCCCCGATACTAAATCCCCACTCTTTCCCATGTTCCTAATGAAAGTGACTTAATAGAGCGTATTAAAAAGGTTTTTTCTCCCCTTCTTTGACAGCATTGACGATGTCTGCTGTTTGCCAGCAAACTAAAGAGCTCGGTCATCGCGACGCCTTTGAAAACCAGTCTGTGTCGCTAAATTTCCCTCCTCATTTTCTGAAGGGTGAGGCAACACTGTCAGCACAGTGACTTCAGGTTGTTTCCGCTATTCATTAATCATTAAAACCTTGTTTTCCTTCAAAACCATAGGGAAAAGACAGTAATGACATCTCCCAGGAATTACTCATGTAGGGCAAATACACGCTCGCTTTTCAGCCTTTGTCTGAGGGATGGAAGACACTGAAAGCCAGTGCTGAGTACTAGGGCTAAAGTAATCACCAGGCATCTTAGCAGACCGGCTGCTGCCTAAAAGCCAAATTCTTTTCTCGCATCCCCCTGTTTTTTCACTCGACGATGCGGCGACATTGGAGGAGAAAACTTGTTGGTAACTTTGTACAGAAGAATGTAGAGAGGAGTTTATCCCAAAATGATGACATTTAGTAGCTGAGATGCAGTTGTCAGTCAAGGGGTTGCCAGGAGGAAAGGGTATCACAACAATTTTGGGGGGCAACCCAAGAATGTTACGGGAAGAAGGTTTTAAAATGGGCTGATGAGTTATTTTTCTTTCTTCCTATGCCTTTTTCCTTGTGCCAAGCACGGTAATACCTGCAGCGTGCGGCACGCGCTGTACCGAATATAAGTTTATTTTGATATCAAACACTTCACTCAACTTTCATCGCCTTTCCTAAACATACTTTAAGCAACATACTTAGCATATATATATGAAAAATGCCTTCATTTATAAGTAATATATTTGAGTTGCATTATATATATATATATATTCACAACAACGGATTGCCTCTGTGTTTCCACTTATTGTTTTTTCTTCTTTGTCTCCTTTTTTAACATATGGGATGATAGCATATTTACGTAAGGGTGAATCAGCTCCCGTATTTAGAACGAGTGTATTAAGATTGGTGTCGTTAAGACGCAGACGATCCGTAGCTTCTCACAGTGCTGCATTATCCATAACAAATTCTTATTTAACAACAGGACCACAAGCAAATATTTATGTAAATAGGTATTTTCGTGTTGATATTTTGTGGTACACATGTAACTTTTTCTTTTAGAGTCCCATGGCATTATTACTTCATTTTCTTATTTGTAATGTAATGTTTTTAGATCAAGGTAGACTTGAATTAATGTCATAATTGTCAGTATTATTAAACTTTATGTCAACTGTACTGTCAACTCATCTGTCCCATAGTTTTAGAACATGATTAGCTATCTGGCATTGTTGCAAGTGCCTTAAATCCATGGCATCCTATTAAAAAAGAAAAAAAAAAAATTACAAATTTGGTGTTATGCTGCATGACAAAGACAAACACACCTCAAATTGTCGTCCTTTCTTAGCTTGCTGCGTTTTACAGTTCTTTCTGCTACCAATTTCTAAGCCTTTATTATATAATATTGATGAATTACAGAAATGATGAAGTCGTTCTCTTATTTCTGTTCAATGTACCAGAGCTGTGTATCTGTTAATGAGATACAGAGTCATTTCTGTGAAATGTATAAATGTTATGTGCGGGTCAAATTAATATATGACATCCTATCAGTCCGTAGACAGGTATTCCTGTTTTGCTAAGCTGTGCAGATTCAACCCATCATGCCGTCCAGCGCCACCCTCCCGTCTTATACAAACCCCTTTAGAAATCTCCCACCCCGAAAAAAACGACGAGCAACCCGGTGTGCAACCCGACCTGCGTTTTTTTGACCTGAAACCCCCATGCAAAGGCGTAGCTCGTTTGCACCACTCAACAAAACAGGATCTGTGCTTCCCCCCCCC